TATTGGACACAAGAAAGTTTTCATACAAATGGCTTTTTCACTAGGGAGGCTTTGCTTTTTCCGGGATGATATTTGTTATCTCAACATTCAAGAGACCTATTGAGTAAACGAACCATGAAGGCGATGCCAAAACCCATATTTAACGTTTCCTGCCTTCTTCAGTGAGGTGACATCCCATGTTGCATAACTTGCAAGTCAAGCAGGCAGCCTAATAACAAAGCAGTTCGTGCGTGTCTTTTCGTTTTCGCGGTCTGATCTCATTTATTTCACACCATCCAATTTCTTGTAACCAGTCCATTAAGCTGTAATATCCCCGCATCGTCACATATATTACAACATCTGGGCCCGTTTGCTCGAACAGCTAACCGCGGCTAAAGTTAGCCGCAGTACCTAGGAGAGGGATTTTTTAGTCACGTGACTGGCTCGGTAGGGATACGGGGAGCTACGCATTGCCCCGTCGCGTCGTTCGACAAAATGGCTGCGGCGTACGCAGTTTCCGCGGTCGGGATCGCATTGGTGTTTGTCTTCAGAGCGATGATTTAGGTTCCGTGTTCTAAGTTAAGAGTGTACAAGTATCCTACGTGCGCCTTAAAGAAACTGACATTTCGAGGGGACTGCGACTGAAGTCGACGGCAGCAGCCCGTCGACAAACAGTGGCTCAGAGTCACCGATTTGTAGAAGTACAGTGGCCCGGAGTCGCCGACTGTCGAAGCTTCGCATCGGCTTCATTGAAGCACGGCAAGAATCATGCATCGCAGCGCCGAAATGTGGGATGCGTTCCAAGGAACACGATAGCCGAGTACGACAAGCGTTTTACGGTGAGCACCAAAACATTTCGCGATAGGGTTGTGATGAGGCCAGCCTCATACTCACGTTATGTTGAGCGCTGTGAAACTAACTTCAAGCAGGAGCAGGATCAGAATACGTTTATTGAAAGGAAGCATTACGGAGAGTTGCCTTTTGAGTAGCGATTGCGGTTAATTGAAAGTAGTCACGCCGGGAAAATTTCTGTTCAGGGTGTCCATTTTGTACAAAATCCTCGTATTCTGCTTACAGTGCGACTGCAGCTGCAGCATCAACCGTTCTGCAGATAAACGGCGGACAGAGGCTCAACGGTCCAATGGATTTTAGCAGTGATGAGTAGCAGAACTTTCTCTGGGTTTAGTGAAATGCTACGTTGTCCATAAAAGACCAGTGACCTGCCGATCGTTCAATTCACTCGCCCTCCAAGAAAGCCGGTACATGCAGTTTTTCCGAATCAACTCCGTTGTGCCGTCTGCGAAAGTTGTAGAACCGAGAAATAAACAATACTGAAGTTGTTGGAAATGCACTTGTTTGTTATTTCGCGTTGCTTCTGAAAAAATATTTTACGGTTAGCAGGAATAATGTTGCAATTGTGTAGATAAACAAACCAAGGTAGCAGACGATCATGCTCCTTCTGCAAACGAAAATGAACCGAGCGACTACCTCAAAGGGGACCGCGCCGCTGCGTCAAAAGAATTGGACCCTAGATGAAAAATTGGAATTAGTCCGGGAAGTTGAGGCTCGAAAATACCAAATCCTGGGAAAATTCGGCCCTACCGTGACTACTAAAACCAAAAGACGCGCCTGGGACCAAGTCGCCAATTCCATGACCCGCCGCCACCAAGTTCCGCGTTCAGTGAAACAGCTTCAAGAAGCATGGAGAAAATTACTTAAAAAGTGCCGAACTTTGTACAGATTGTACAAAGAACATGACCAACGGACAGGTAAGTTCCAATATTTGCGCTACAAAAACAGAAAAAAAGGGCGATATTTGTAAAATCTTTATTGGAAACTTTGGGTGCACTGTACAAATTTATTAGAGAGTGATATATTAGCCCCTCAAATTTTTGGGGCAAATATCTCAACCGAAGACCCCATTCAATGCGCGACAACTAACATCTCGCTCAATATCATGAGAGGGCAAGCCCAAAGATTAATTAGCTCTTACTCGCACAAGTTTCAACACAGTGGCACTAACACAGAAATAGCCCCAAAGCACCTTGGATCCTGTTCCATGCAGTGGGCCTGCGTAATTTCTCAAAATTAATGTCCAAATTTTGCTTGCCAAAAACATTGTCTTTAGCACTGTAAACAATGTAGACACTATTGTTCAACTAAACACAGAAGAAAAATGTATGTAGGCAAGTAGCGTGGGAACAAGGGCAGGGGGGCTTCAGACCCCCTTCCCCCCCCCCCCCCCCTTGAAATTTCAGACAGCTGCGGTAAACAATGCTGCAAAAGGGGGCGGGGTTAAGCTCAGAGGCCCCGTCGCCCCTCCACGTTTCAAACACTTCCGACGCAACCGATTCAGGCGCAGAGTGGGCCAGGCTAGCCAGTAGCTGGCAACAGTGAGTTTGCTGTCAAACAAAAAAAAAAAAAGAAATAAATTGCCCAACATCACATATTACCCGAGACCGGATAATAGGAACCTGAGGGTGAAAAAAAAAAACGAAGGTAAGAAAACAATCTTATCATTATTGGCAATTACATGTTTACGCGTTTTCTGTTCATTCGCACATTGATACTATGTTGAATAATGAACACCCTGTCTCCCCTCCCCCACCTTTAATTGTGCTTACATCCTAGAAAACAAAATAAGTATACTTCAATTCATAGGTGCTGGTCCCAACCCCCATCAGCTGACACCACTTGTCGAGACTGTTTTAAATGTGATCGGGGACGATTCCCCGACGATCTGTGGGATTGATGTCATCATCGGTGACACCGAAAAGTAGGTAACACTTTATAGGCCATGCTGTGTATGCTATGCTCCTGTTGATACTTTATACATTACAATACTAAAGTTGTAGGTATGAGCACGTGGCTTCGTCAATCACCTTACTTGTGCTAATTGAATGGCCCACCCTTACGCCTACAAGTTTGATATCGTTGCACACTGTATGTAGACTGTGACAATGGAGGCGATAGTACAGTGGAAGCTCTGCACCCAGTTACAGCTTACTAGCCCTGACAGCACAAGGATGCACAAGCAGCAGAAGAGAATGAGCACGCGCTGAAGGTGCATTCTTTTTCTGTTCTGCTCGTCACATTATGAGTACTTCCACAAGATGATAGTTATGAAACTGATGATAGGGATGTTCTGCTGTCACTGATGATAGGTATGAAACTGAGCACAGACACAAGGCATATCAAAAGTCACCAATTGTTGGCATGCTCCTAGAAAACATTGATGAGCATAGGGAACAGTTTGGATTGTCATAAAAGAATATATTGGTTTTCCATCTCAAAGTAGACATGTCAGTTGCATAACACTACTGTTGCGTGCCCTTACATAGAGACCAACTTCATGAAGCAAAACGACAATATTAGGAGCACGAGTCAAAACCTGTCCAGTAGAGAACAGAACACAGCACAAGGACACCACCTTCACATATTTAGCCATTTCTGCACTGCTGAAAAAGTGCCAATGAAACCATTTATTAGGGTAAATGCAGTAAAACTCACAGTTTGAAACTATTTGTACCACAAAATTACAAAGAAATATTTACATCATAATCAACAAAGCTATGGTAGTCTTTCTCTCAAGTTGAGATCACCTATTTTCTTCAAAGTCAGGTCACTCAATACCCAAATTTTTCCACTGTCAGTGGAAATGTTTTTGCATGATCTTCGTACATGCCTGCTAACGTAGCAAAAATCCATTCTTTTTTGGTAACGCTTATGAGATTAAGTTGAGAATGCACCAATGACTTATTCGATGCTGATCTGTGCCAACAAAATCTGAAAAAGTATCAATGTCCCAGTTAGCCGGACAGTGCTTGGGTACACAATAATCACATATGACGGCTGCTGTGAGTGTGCCACATCTACTTGTTTTAAATCTTGTACAAATGTCTATGTGGCGACTCTACCAACCGCCAATGAAACGAAGTTGCGGGGTTAGGCACTCCAGTCTGTTGTACCACCAACATATGTGGTAAAATTATGACAAGTGTTACTGTCACATCTGGATTAAGGTTGCCGCACGTTGCACTCAGTTCTCCCACACATATATGTACCCTGATCCAGGGTGACGTCAAAAATGTCATGCACTGCAGCCCTCATGCATCACTTGGAGAGATAGAGGACGGAGAGAATCATGTCACGGAGGACGTACGTGCACGAGTATGGTGTCTAGTCACAATCCTTTGCTTCAATGCTCTGAGCAGCTCTCTGGAGCTGTAGCCCTTGCAGTTTGCTAAGTTATGCTGAAATTTACAAGTTCACTCCTGCCCAACAATAGCCCTCTGTGAGCTGCCATTTTTCTCACTGCGCATGCTCGGAACACGTCCCGAGCATTAACTTTATGCAGGACAATATTGTACCTCGGGCTGCCATCCACAGCCAGTCAGTGACCTGGGTTTTTAAGTTTGCTGATAATCGTTGTAAAGGCTTATGCGTTAAAGGGATACCTCAACGAAATTAAAAATATACCCGTCGTGTTCAAAAATAGGTTGAATATGATCCACTGTATCCCTAAATGACAATCGCACGTTTGTATTTTGAACCTGGTGGCTATAGTTTTCGTTACAAACGGCCCACCCTGACAAGCGCTCGGAGAACAGCCAGCGGAGAGCATGTGACACCCAACGCAATCGTGACGTAGTTCGTCTCGGGACGAGCAAAGCTGCGACGAGGCTGACGTCGAGAGGATGGCCTAGTCGTTCCAGCCACCAAAGCGGCTGCTTTTGTACGAATTTTGAGTGAAGGGTTAATCTTTTATAATCTTGTAGGGGGACAATAGCAACTTCTGGGACATACAAAAAGGATTCTTTGGAAGAGGAGAGTTCCTCCTTCCCCTCTTCTATTGTGGTAGCCGGAGGCGAGACAGTTACCGTCACTAGCTGTCAAGGTTCTTAGACTGGCATTACAAACGAGGCGTTAGCGACATCCACCTGGTGCTCTTTGCCAATCGCTTAATTCGTTTTAAAATTCCTTTTCGTGACTTTTTTAACAAGATATTGTTGTGTTCGATGTGATACTGCTCCTTCGAACACATATAGACCAAAAAATGAAACCCGAAATTTTGTTGTAGTATCCCTTTAACCTCAAACAATTTCCTGGTCATGCGTGTCACTACAGCAGCTGCACGGGAAGGGTGACGACGCCGCCACCCTCGTCATCTGGCAGCAGTACAGTTGAAGACGACGCAGCACAGAGAACACTGGCCTCTCCTGTTGTGCAGCACAACCAGCGCTGGACCCGTGAGGCTGCACAGCAGTACCAGAGAAGGGCCGAGCGACAGCAGGATCTGGAGCATGAGAATATACTCCTTGAGAGAAAGTACACAAATGGGGCCATACAGGCTGCAAACGCAACCCTTGCTGCAGCAGATGCTGCACGGAGTTTCTATGCTATAGGGGAGGAAGTGCTCAGGGAGCAAAGAGAACTCATTAGACTTGAAACCACCCGAGCACAGCTGCAAATTGAACTGATAAAAAGACAATTAGGACAAGATTAACTCATGCAATGAGCTACTTGCATTGTTTGTCGCTGTGTTGTATACATATTTTGCGTTTTTTCTGACCTACATACTTGGTTGCACGATTATAACGCTCACATTTTTTTTGCCAAAATGGGTGCCTAAAATTAGATGCACTTACAATTGAAACCAAAACTCAAAAGAAAAACGCAAGGCAGCTAGCCCAATCGCCTTTGTGACCGTTTGTTTACATTAGATATTTTGGTATCCGTATCGCGCGTTCTTTCGCCTTTATGTCATCACACTGACGGGAAACGATAACCACGGAGCGACACTGCGTAGCCTCGCAATCCCAGCGACCCAATGAGCTCGCGAAGTGTTGTATGAAAAAAAAAAAGTGAAGGCCGTTTACAACTCTGTAACGCCGAATTAGAGCGCAGCTCTTGAGGAGGAGTAGGGAAGGGTACTGAGGGGGAGGGGGGTCACGTGACCTCGGCGGGGGGGGGGGGGGGTCACGTGACCCCCAGGTCACATGACCCCGCAGAGAAATTTTTCCGCTAGGTTTAGCGGACAAATTTTTCCGCTAGATTTAGCGGGGAATTTTTTCCGCTAGATTTAGCGGGGAAATTTTTCCGCTAGATTTAGCGGGGAAATTTTTTCACTAGATTTAGCGGAGAAATTTTTCCGCTGGATTTAGCAGAGAAATTTACCCATCATGCACCGGCGGTTACGACGACGGCGACGGCGACGCCGCTCAAGCCGGAAACGAGCGCCTAAGAGCTGCACTTATGGGTGTTCAAAGTGCATTACTTTACCTGCGCGGTAGAATCGGCAGCAATTAAATTTTTCGATATCTGGGAGCTAAAATTGCCTGCATGTAAGTATCGGGGCCACGTTAGAATCGTGCAAACATGGTATGTTTGACACTTCATTTATTTTATGCATGCTATCTACAAGGGAAGCTTGCACACAATCTTTTCCATGTCGTTGACTATCCCTACACTAGACCAGCGTGGTTGTTCTGATCGCAATATTTTACGCTGTGGTTAAGTAAGCAACAGAATATCATACTGGCAGTATGGCACCCAGGCTTTCGACGCCCCAAAGGTGGCACATAATTTACATGGATACCTAAAATAAAAATATGGGTTAAGCTCAAAGGCAGATGTATAATTCCTTCTTTCCTATATCCCTTCACATGTTTCCCTTTCATAACGCGGCTCCCCGTCACAGCTCAAGAGAGGAGGTCGCCAAGACGATTAGCCTCCCGGCAGAAGACCAAGGTCGAGTTTCTGTGTTTTAAGAAAATGTTCGAGTAATCGATGAGTGGACCACAGACACTTTCTGACTTGCATCTGCAAATATTCCTTCTGCTTTTAAGATAAAGGCTTTTTCTGCCTGGATATGCTCCTGCGACCTATGGACTGTGTGCTGCTTATGTACGAAAAAGTTCATACTAAGAATATCCCGAAACTCAGGAACAGAAAAAGGGATCAAACACAACACTACATCATTTTGTTGCGTGTGTCACCTTTTGGGGCCCCGGGTCTTCAACTCTTATTACTTTGAATCGTCACCACTTGCCTTGTTCTTTAAGTATTTATTTATTTATTTATTTATTTATTTTATTTAAAGAGTACCTTCATCGCCTCGAGGGCATTATTGTAGGAGGGGTGGGAAATAACACACATACATAAAAACACAAAGTGATCACTTGTCCGCACAGAATAGATATACAACCGAGAAAAAAATACACTGTTATCCAACACAACAGTTTTTTGGAGCTGAAATCTACTTGCTGCTTGTACGTAGGCTCGCGATAATTCGAACTCGGATATTTCGTACTTCCAGTTAATTCAAACAGGTTTAAAAATTTTGGTTGTCCCGCTAAGCTTTTTTATGTATTTATAAGCCACTTAATTCGAATGGCGTTTTCGCTTAATTCATAGTTTTTTGCTCTCGCGGCCCTGTTGAGTGCGCTTCTTTCCGAGCACCGGTGCACCGCAGAGAAGCAATACCTGCGGAGCTTGCTTTTGCGAGTGTTGCTTCTCCGCAGTGCACCAGTGCTCGGAAAGAAGCGCAGTCAACGGGGCCGCGAGAACAAAAAACTATGAATTAGCGAAAACGGCACACATGAACGGAAAACGGCGTTCAAATTATGTGCTTCAAGACTAGCAATGATGAGCAAGACGACAACGAGGACGAGGCACAGCTCACTGGCATCATGATTTCTGGCCTTGAAACACGTAATGTGAACGCCGTGCAGGCGAACTATATTAGTCTTGACGACGATGTGTGTGTTTGTCATGATGACTCATTAGAGGACATAATACGGAAAGTAATGCCAGCACAGTGCAGCAGTGAGAGTGAAGATGACGATGAAGAAATGGATGGCCCACTACGAACTGTCACAGCCGCAGAGGCCTTTGAGCACATCGCTCAGCTCCGGAAGTTTCTGTCAGCAAAGGAAAAGTCCCGTACAGAGCTACTTGCGTTGGCTGGCATTGAAAATTTTGTTTTCAGATCTCATGTGCTGACTAAACAGTCCACAATTGACGACTTTTTTGCCGGATGAATAAACTTAGTCACGGTTCTTTCACAAATGTGTTATGCCTGTACTTGCTTATAGTTATGCATTAACTATAAGCAAGCTACTGTGCTATGTAGAGGAAACTGGCCAAAATCTGCTTTGTATATATCGCTATCCATGTAACAAATCATAATGTTCTCTAGTATCATATATATCCAACTAAAATATGTGACTTTCTGGAGTTTGAATTAATGAGAGTGTAGTATGTACAATAAAGCTCCTCTCTGGACAATGCCCTACTAAAAATAAATGTTTTGCAAATGATGTTATCATGCCAGCCAGGATGAAGAAAATATGAACTAACCCTAGGAGGTTTGTGAAAAATAAGAGAAAAGCTTTGCAGGTTGGAAAAACCTGTAAAAGGTGTTATGACTCAACACTCAGAAGCGTACACTATGTAAATCCTATGAGCTAGTAACCATGAGTATGCAGTGAAAAATGAACATTCTATGGGGTAGTATATATAATTTGTACTGATAGCTTTGAAATTGGTATCAAATGAACATTGTTTCACTATACTCTCCTATTCATGCTTCTGTACCCATTAAATAGTATCGGTTTGTAGATATTGAATGGGAAAATAACTGTCTTCTTCAGTTGCCTCATTATAAACTGTGCACACATAGTCTGTTATAGGGCTGACTTCAGCACTTCCCATAAAGCATCCGTCGGTGTGGGAAATGTATTACAAAAAATAATGACAGTATAAAAAGAGAGCTCCAGAGAGTGCGAAGAAGTGCACAAATTTGAAGAAGCATCCCTCGTGTCATTAGTTAGAAGTTTGAAAAGTGCATTGTTATGAACTCCGGAAATCAAATTCAAAATCTATTAGTTTAAGAGAGCCCGTGTGTGCCTATGCTTGTAGCTCTGCGAGAGTGCAGGAGTTGATGGGGAGGAGACCAAAGCAGTAACAAGCAGTTGAGCTGCAGCGTGCGATTGCAGGAGTGTTGGACATTGCACTGCACTCCCGTTTGACCAATAGCTTCGGCAGGGATTTTTTTCGAGCACACTCTTTCCAACGAGCTAATTATAAGTGCCTCAAATGACACATTTCGAGCTTTGTAACAATAATGCGGGAAGTAAGAAAATTTTTTTTCATTACTTATTTCGTCGCTTATGCTGCAATTTACACATACTGCTATGGAAGCAACAGGTATAAGGGGATGTCCATCAATCATTCTTTACATTTCTATCATCCAAATTTCGAAACTCTATGTGGGATATCTGCAAGCACTACCCGAATTGATCTGTGCAAGAGTGATATATGCATTGCTGGAATGTCATTGTCATGTTGATAACACACTTTCAGCATTGTCACATGTGTCACACTCCTTTATGGGTTATTTTGGGTAGAACTTATGATAATCTTACATCCAGTTAGATCATACAAAAAAAGCTTAAAATAAAATTAATCAATATCTCAAAGCTGTTGGCTTCTTGCTAACTGTGCAGCACGGTTGAGCCCCTAACTGTTGCAGTTTCCAAAAATACAATTGATGTTTAAGTAGCAAAACAATAAATATTATTTCAAGCAATTATTTGATCTAGTTAGACAACTGTCTGACATAATTTTCTTATAATTATCTGCAAAGCCTGATAAACAAAAGGTGAAAGCAATAGCCACGATCATAACAAAGCATCTTGCATTAGAAATGGACAGCCAGAAGATACCTATCCAGACACTTACACTTAGCCGAAGAAATGGTTGACAATAAAGTCTCGGGCCTCGTTGCTCTCAGCACGGTTGGCTGCTACGGGCTCAACGGGAACCTCAGCGGGGATGGCGGCCACGGGTGTCCTGCAGGGGTACCTCTTGGCCAGGTTGTGGAGGGCACAGCACGCGACAATGATGTCGCAGCACCGTTCTGGAGCCATTCGGAGCTCAGCGTGAAGGCAATGGAACCTCCGCTTGAGTTGGCCGATTGTCCTGTACAGAGCGCATGGATCAAAACCACATGTTATTCCTTCCTAGAAACCCAATAGCAAAATCGGACAACAGCGTGGAACGCAAATACTCAAGAGGATGACACGCAACAAGGACAAATTTACAGCTGAATTCGAATCGCAAATTGGCTGCCGTGCCCGATATCACACCTCCTAATTTTTCCAGCCCAAGCTCCAGCCCATTGCTCCAGGATATCGAAAGCTGGGCATTATGCATACCATTTTATTTTCCTTCCGAATTATTTTTACACTGCGTTCACATCCGGGGTCACCTGAGGTTAGCCTGTGCAATGTATTTTATAGAAAGCAACAAGCAAAGTGCAGCTTTATTCAAGCGCTATCCTCAAAGGGTTTCGTGGATATGCTTCCAACCAAACACCTGCATATGCACAGGCCAATATGTTAGAATTTTTTGCTACCTGATTGCTGCCAACGCTGTAAGAATTAACTTGTAACCAAGCTTTATACTGCAACAAATACAGTACCATCAAAATTTCATTCTACATGTTACTTGTGAGACAGAGTGAAAAGAGAAAGAGAGCCAGACTCTTGTCTTGTTGAGCCTTTTCCCTTCCACTCTCCAGGAATAGATGTTCGTGGTAGCGCAACCCATCTACTTTTGTCATTGATCAATAAGAATCCGTCTTGTAAGTCTGGGAGATGTAAAACGTAAAGCACTTGATATAACGCCTTATCCAAGTACTCCTACCCTTTGATTGTGCCGCTAGTGTTCCTATTAGTTAGTGGTCCACGCACCGCCATTTCTGACTCAAGTGGAAGCTCCTGGACGCATGCAGCCAAAGTTTTGGTAGAGGGTCTTATGGCGCTTTCACAACGGAATCCCAAGCAAGATTTGCCTGAACATTTGAGATTGCAGCGACTCATCATCAGTCGTGAATGACGTGTAAGATGGTGTCTAGAGACTATTTGTGGAAACTTGTTATTGCATGCTCAACTTCAACATTGTCCAAAATGATGCCTTGGCACTACTCTTAAATCCATCGATGAGAGCAGAATAGGTCATGCTAGGCATGTACTCTTGGCCAATCGGTCAAGACGGTCAGCAACACACAATTGTTTGCGACTTACACCGATGTGCCGCTATTTTTGGATCACACGCATCTTAGCACGCACGAGCTTAGCTGTACTTGTGCACTCAATATGAGTACATACATATCTAGCACGTTTAGTTAGTTTTCATTAAACAGCCCGAAACTGACATTTCAAAAAGTAGACATATGAAAGTGCCAAGGCACAGTGTTACTTCCACTGCTGTGTCTAGGAAAAAAATTCCATTGTCATTAATGCTTCTTTTTGTCCAATTAACAAAATATCAACTTCTGTCCGGGTCTTGCGTAGCACTGGCACCTGAGGTGAGTTTAGTGCTTTTCCCCATTATTGCCAGTCCTGGGGACCTAAGACATAACTGAGTTTCTGCATTTTCAGTCTCAAGCGATAAAACCCAATAAAGTGTGGTGAGGTAAGTTTCGAAAGTTTGATTTTAAACCTAAATGGTCAGTACTTTAGACCATTACAGGTGCATGTGACCGAGTAAACAGAGTATAGAAGCATGTGACCGAGTAGTCAACTATCTTATCTCCGTGCTTTCAAACTATTCTGTTGGAAGCACACTTTAGGAAGTATTTGGGTTTGTCATCGATGCAATTTGCGTTCCTTTGTCCATCAAGTTTGCTGTGGTCGTCTAGAGGGCGGATTTGGAGCGTTTTCATTGTTTGTCAAGCCATTTGGTCTTACTTTTGTTCTGGGAGGAATGGAATGTCATTCTGTTCCCATTGTAGGGAGCATAAGAAAAAAACCAAAGCTGTTTAAACAGCCTCTCTCAAGGTGCTATCTGGTTAGAGGAAAGCAGCTTTAATAGTCCTCCACATGTGAAGAACAAAGAAGCTTGCCAAGAATTACGTTTGCAAATTTTGCGATTAAGAATTTGTCGTCACAGCACATGTATAACCAAGGTTACGTTTGCCATGTCCGCAAGTGTTGCCGCTTGACGAATAACTCAGATATGAACCTAATCTACTGCATTCTCGACAAACCTGCTTGAAAAAAAAACGTAACTGGTCAATAGATATCGACCGGAAAAAGGCAGTAAGCTTTCGACTAAAAATATTCATCGATAAAAACTGAAAATTTCATACTCACAATAACAACCGAAAAAAGTATGCCGATTCCAGAAAAATAAAAACTGAAACCGCAGAACCCTAGGCAGCTATTATAAGTTGTATTGATTCGTAATCTCAGGATACTACTTTCATCTTGCTTACATAAAACCACGGTATCTTATGCTTCGTTAGATTAATATAAAAATTTGTATGAATATTTTTATGCCATAAAGAATAGCAACAGACGTAAGGAGCATGCACGTGTTGCACATATTACGTCAAGACAGCTAGTCGTCTCGAAATGTCTTGCATGAATATCTCTGTGCCCTTCACAATATATGGCCTAGATTTACCGTTCAACAATGCTTCTTGTCGTCGTGTGTGCCGTATTGTATGCGACCTCGGCTGCTGATGACGGCGACAGGAATGGCGTCATCAGCCATGGTTGACAGGAGTAGCCGCTGTCACCAAGCAGCAGGCCGTCGTACTCTCCACTGGCCAGCTTGACTGCCAAGGTGCTCTCCGTGAAGATCCGAGAGTCGTGGGTGCTTCCAGGCCACCTTGCAACCACGTTGCGAATCCGAGAAGAGGCGTCAACGACCACCTGTACGTTGATGGAATGGTATCCATGGCGGTTGACGTACGCCTCCTCGTGCACATGGGGTGCCTGGATCCGGACATGGGTACCGTCAACAGCACCCACGACCAAAGGAAAGCCGGCCATGTCGTAGAACTTGTGCTGCAAGGCTGCCCCCTCCGCAGCGTCAGGCCATCTGCGTCGTTGATCCCCTCAGCAATTAAACCACATATAGTAAACTTACAGCTACAATGCTTATGAATACCTTTTTAATGAGGAATGCTAAGGACTTTGGCTGTGCCCTTCAAGTTTGTGGTAGCAGTAAAGTGCCTCAGTAGCACCTGTTCAATAGTGAAGTTTGCATGTTTTCATAGGATCCCTTTTTATTTTTGTTCAGTTACCAAGACCTATAAAGTGACTGTGATTCGGTGCAAGTCCTTACCAAAAGTGCAAACGGGTCGCTTTCTGAGGTTTCTCAGAAAAATGGCGTGCCCGGGCCCTTTCCAATCGGGCAAGTAGGACGCTTACGGCCGTAATCATTTTTTTTTTCTATTGAAAAGGGGGGGGGGGGGGGGGAGGGAGGGCTAGTTACTAGTAGGTAGAATATTACTGCCATAAAAAGGCAACCTACAAAACATCCCTATCACCAGCAATTCAGATATATTTTTAGTGTATTTACTTTACTTCAATACGGCTGGCAAACTACAATTAAAAGGAAAAAAAAAGGACCCTTACCGTATGAAGTCTTGTGCTCGAGGAGCCAGCGCTACGGTGACTTGCCTCACAGCCCGTGAAGCACTTGACACATGCATAGTCGCCTGCAGTGATCAGAAAGTTCCCAGTTGCGTAGAACTGCAAGGCGATGATCACTTGCTGCTCCGCAGAGAGGGCGCGGCTACGACGTGTACGGCGCTCCAAGTCCGGACGCAGTGTGTCGGCGAGAAACATTATGCCCGCTCTTCCAAATCGGAACCGTTGCTGCAGCCCATCCTCGTCGAAATCCTCAAAGGGGTTCAGGCGGTCCCGCAGCACACGCTGTCGCCTCATCATTGCCGCTGCGTACTGCGCGTCCGTGCGGTCTCTTCTGTGTCGGCGATTCCTTGCGTTGGACATTCTGCCCGGTAGCAAAGTCGGAAATCGGTCCGCAAATCTTATCAGTCAGTCCGTGGCCGGTCGGAGGGTTTGTCGGTGGGTCGGTCGGTCGAAGGGCAGAATACAGACAGGAAAACTCAGATGATAACCGAAAACGAGAAACGCGCGTTGCGTGCAACGAGGCGAAACTGGTTGTATAAACAAACGCCGTGCACGCGACACGGCACACACGGCGTTGCCAGACTTGGAAGCGACGGTCGACGCACTTGCTTTTTGCAAAACACGACAACAGAAAACTGCAAAGCACTTTGACTAGGTGTCTTGTCTACGCTTCCACACTTCGAAAGAAAGAATTTCGATGCAAAAAAGAAACTATCCTTTTTCTTTTCAATTGAGCAAACGTTTCTTGCAAGTTACAACTAGATTTAGCCGAAAACGGTTCCCATAAAGCAAACGTTGTATCATAAAAAAATAACGATTTATTTTTTTCAGCACAAGGTGGCGCAGGCTCCAGCCCAATAATAAAGGACGGATTTGTTTTATGTCCAGCCATTAAAGTTTCGTAGTAGGTACAATTAGGTACAACTAGGTACTTTCGGTACCTACTAGGGACTTTGGCCAACGCTAACCGCGGTTAGCTCTTCGAGCAAACGGGCCCTGAAGCGTAGTTTTCATAGTTGCCAGTAAAGTTTCTCAGTCGCTTGGACCAGGCATAAAACTGCTATAAGTATATATATATATATACCGGGTGTTTTTGCGAAGACTTTCAAAAATCCTAAAAATTAGGGCGATTGAAAAAAGAAGAAACTCTCTTCGGGAAGAAACTACGAGCCACGGTGGACGGCAGGAATTGCCAAAAACCTACTAATTAGCCAGATAATTAATTAAAACTCGTTAATTAACTTTTTAATTAGTGGAAATAGACATATGATTCCAATTAGAAAGTTGCTGAACGTTATCGAAAACCACTAAATCAGTCATTTTCAGAAAGACTTTAAGCGCTTGAGAAGAGTAGTAGCGCACTAAAATTACCACTCGTGGAGCAGGTACAAGGCTGGGGATAGATAAGAGGCGGAAAAATCGCGCGGGCGCCTTACCGGAAACGCTAGCCTTGTACCTGCTCCACGAGTGGTAATTTTAGTGCGCTACTACTCGTCTCACGCGTTCAAAGTCTTTCTGAAAATGACTGATTTAGTGGTTTTCGATAACGCTCAGCAACTTTCTAATTGAAACCATATGTCTATTTCCCCTAATTAAAAAGTTATTTAACAAGTTTTAATTAATTATCTGGCTAATTAGTAGGTTTTTGGCAATTCCTGACGTCCGCCGTGGCTGGTAGTTTGTTCCCGAAGAGAGTTTCTTCTTTTTTCAATCGCCCTAATTTTTAGGATTTTTGAAAGTCTTCGCAAAAACACCCGGTATATATATATATATCAGTGTGTCGAACCGAAAAAAATACGGGTTCGGTTACGGTTCAGGTAAATTCATTTTGTTCCGGTTCAGTTCCGGTTCGATTAATTCGATCCGCGAACCGGTTTGCGAACCGGTTCGGGGCGCAGAACCGGTTCGCGAACCGGTTCGGAAATTATAAATGACAAATTGCAACATCAAATTAAATTACAAATAAAACATCTGAAATCAGCACATATGAAACGGGATACATCGTAGTGTAAGGCTCAGGGATTTCTACCAGGAATGGTTTCTTTATGTGCACTCAAAGGTCACCTCACCGACGTTTACGCATGCGGACTTCATCTAATTGGGTCCGACGCAGTAGCTGTAAGGTCCGCGACCTCCTTACAAACCCACTTACAAGTAGAACTCGCTAACTATCCCGCCACCTCGGTGTGTAAGCAATTGAAGGAACAGTGGGGAGAAAATACAGCTTTCTTTATTTGAACTAGCCTTCGGTAACTCAAATTAGACCCTTAAAGAAGTTTTCATTAAAAAAGATACGGAATATGAAAAACACTTCACCGAACGCAACGCCAGAAGGACGTAATCGGATAAATATTAAAATAGAAGAGTTCGCTGTCTCACAAATATGTTAGCTTCTAAGTGCCTATACGAAACCGGATGCATTATTATCAAACTCCACATCCTTTTCTTTTCTCATTCCAATGGAAGCAAGCTTCAAGAACTCGCGCGTTCTAGAAACGTGTTATGAAATGAGCACACAGCAGCATTTAGGATTTACGAGATTGTAGGAAAATGAAATCCCGTGACGCGATTTTTTTTTTTTTTTTTTTTTGCACAGCCTTTCAATTTTTTTTTTCCGTGCAAGCCGCGACCAGCGCAATACTGGTTCCTATGTCAAGATTCATGGACGCAGCGTTTGTCAAGATTCATGGATGCAGCGTTTATATTCCTAAGACTGAGTGGAGAAGAAAAATATGTAAGCGAGGTGTGTGTCAGTTGACGGCACTTAAAAAACAAATGGCATTGATAGCACATTCATTGTCAACAGCGTGTGGCCGAACCGTTTTTGACATGAGCCGGTAACCGTTATTTTTTTTTCCGGTTCAGTTCCGGTTCGGGTTTATCGCGATAAGAATATAACGGTTCGGGTTCGGGTTCAGTTCCGGAAAAAAAAGCGGTTCGGTTCCGGTTTTCGGTTCGGTTCGGTTCCGGTTCGACACCCTGATATATATATATATATATATATATCGCGGTACGACGCTTAGTGTCACGTGGTACGTGCTCGTTTGTGCTTTTGGCTTTCGGCGGATTCCTGAAAACTTTGATTCTTTGATTAATTGGATTAAGTACGGTTCATTCATCTGCACTTATTCGTTTATATCCTCCTCGGAGACCAGGTACGATGGTGTGAAGTACCCGTGTTATATATATATATATATATATATATATATATATATATATATATATAAACACGGGCACTTCCCTTAAGTAGGTGACTGGCGTCTTTAGCGTCATATCCTGCACAAAGATCAAACGTAGTCCCGAAGTGGCAAAAAATGATGTCACAGGAGCGGACGAGTCATGTTGTCGAATGTCGCGATCCTGGCGGTTGGGCGTAGACGTCTCGGCAAAAGGTACGAGCGAACACGAGCGACGCGGTCGTCTCTGCGTCCCAACTCTGGGCTGCCAAAGCTTCCGTGGACTGCTAAGCTGGAGAACAACCTGCAGCACAACAGGCGTCTGCCTCGTCTGCTATCGTTGCTGTGATACCGCCAGGATTGCGACCGGAGACAACGTGATACATCTATGACGTCATACGACAGAAATAGAGGGACCACCTCCTAGGACACTGAACAGACCAGTAGTCGGAGGCGCGCTCCAAGCACCACGGTTGAAACGGCAGTGATCTGTTTGATACGTACCGGAAGATATCACCTCGGCCAAAAGTTCATACTCGGCCTCTATGACGTCTTGGAAGGCCTCGTAGTGTCCGATCTTGGGGTCGATGGCCTCCTTCTCAAAGCCCGTGCAGCCGTAGCGAAAGAAGCTCTCGCATGGATCCGCCTTGCGGGACACGAATCCCAAGATCCGATGCTCTGCGCGTTAAGGGAAGTTTTATATTCCGTTTCCCCTTACTTCCGGACGCAGCCGATGATACGAGCTGATAAGGCCGATAAAAAATGCAGTTCCGAAAGCGCAAGTCACTGTGTCTTCCCTGTACATGGAAGGCCAAATGACGATAGAACAGGTACAGGAACACTACGAACACCATGTTGGAGTGCTTTTGAGGCTGCCTGACTGATCCCATCAGCTCGTGGCATCGGCTGTGCCCAGACTTAACGAGTGTTGTTTAGGTAGCCCAAGATCGAAGAGCAAATCCCTTAGAAGCATGGAGGAATTCGCAAATAACAAAAAACAGCGAAACGAGTTTTGCGACGCGACGAGGAAACTGACGGTCTGCATGCTCACGTTATCTTGCCTAGTAATACAATTGCTAACTTAAAATGTACGTCGCCGAAAATGTTTTACTGTTACAGGCGTTATTGGCAAGGTTCCGCGGCGAATCTGGTGTGTTTTTCACATACGTACGTTGTTGCCTGTTGAATTAAGCGTGGGGAAATGCTATGCTAAACTTGGGCGGGGGAATCGTTTCACGAACTCATAGCGGTAATTTAGCGCCCCGTGAGTTTCTGGTGCCATGACGCCATAATATAACGTTGTAGCGTAACGTGAATTTGAAGTGTCAGATGAACACACTCCGTTAAATATAGCGATCCACGAGTCCGCTAAATTTAGCGGACGGCAGTGTGACTGCGTGCACCAGTGTGCAGCGTCTAGGCTATCGTCGTAGTTCATGTGCTGGACACGGCAATGAACCGGGACTTTTTTTTCGCATAATATACTCTTTCCGAAATTTAGTGTGGCAACATTGATTACTATCATCATATCAGTAGATGGCATCTATTACAAATTACTGGCTATCTTTTTGAGGCTGACGCAAGAAGACGTTGAAGA